ACAGAAAAAAATACATCAAATCCCCTCACACTCCTCTTCAGGCATGTTCTTGCAGCCAGCACCATAAAACATCTCTCATTATTTGCACAAATATAGAAAAAAAAAATCCTGAAGGGTTAAATCCTTCAGCAGATACAGAAGAGAAGGGCTTGGTGGGAGAACAGGGGTGTTCTTCTAAGATGCTCCATGTTGTAAGTAACCCCTGAGCAGTCCTTGCAAAGCATTTGGGGAGATTTTTAGTCTGAAAGACACTTTACAAAAATAAATTGTAATTGAGTTTAATAATCTTCCCCTTTTCAGAAAGGGCCTGACAGATGCTGCCTAGTGCTCACTTCTGCCCCATTTCAAATATTTTTACCTTATTTGGATGAAATATATTATTTTTCTAATGAAAGGAGGGTTGGTTTTTTTTTTTTTTTTTTTTTTTCCAAAGAGCTGGTTTTCCCTTCGTCCAGCTGGTGCCTTTATTAGGTTAGTACTTGCTCTCTTTTGGGGATGGGATTGTTTTTTTCCCTGAGCTGGGAGAGACCATGCCAGCCCCTCCATCTACAAGTGCGCAGTCCAGAGCTTCTACTGCACAGCAAGTAGGAGTTGGGTGCTGCTCTCCCTCTTCCTTCATACCCCAAAATTCACCTTAGGTACATTCCCATTATTTTATTTCATTTTTTGAGAGTGTACATATTGGCAAGAGCCAGCCTTTCATCAGCATAACAGCTGGGCACAGCTCTAAAGGTGCCTACAGAGGCTGAGTCCTGAGGAAGCAGCATCGTCTGGGGATAAGGCAGTAAAAGGGAGAATGAAGAAAGCTGGAAGCTCTCTCCTGTGCCCTTAGGTAAATAATTTCCTATGTTTCACCTCCCAGCATCCCTTTACTCATGTTTTCAATCCCTGGAGGCCAAGCCCCTCTCCTGCTTTCCACTGGCATACCACCCAAGGGAATGAGGCCAAGTCCAGGCTGGAAGACACTCAGCTCAAGCTCAACACCAGTTTTTGGGGTGCAGGATCACCACCACACAGAAGGGACCTTCCAAAGCCTCCTGTTGACAAAGTCCTTCAGAAACACGTGCTCCCCAACCAGCTGGGTGCAGAGGGTCTAGTCAAGCACAGAGACCAACAACAGGCTTGCAACAAAAAGCCACTCTGGAGCTGCCGTCCAGCCTTTGTTTTCCCCCAGCAACACACTCCCCACCAAAGGAAAGGCAAAGGCAGCCTCCATTTCTGTAGTGCACACTCCAAATGAGAGCAGCCAAGCAGGCACAGACTGGGCTTTTCCACAGCCCCCCCTGCCCAGCGTACACCATGCATCCCCCCACCACTACACAGCAGATGGACCTTCTGGCAACACATCCAAAAAACCCCAGACCAAGGGGAGGTAGCCACTGGAAATTCAACCAATTTCCCCACTCTATTGAAGACAAAAGCAAGAGAAAATATAGTTATTAAAAAGCACTTACTTGCCAGGAGAACCAGAGTTGCAATGAGCAAAGAGCAGGTCTAAAATGTCTGCCTCCAAGCCAGAGCAAGCTGCTAACTGAGCGGCCAGGGCGGCGGGGCAGCTCCTCTCCCACAGCTGTGCGGTCCAGCCATCAGGGGAGAGTGGCTACAGCTGGGTGCTGTACTCACAGCCAGCCAGGGGGGCTGGGGCTCTTGCTTCAGGGCACAGCCACTAATGGGGGTTGGGGTTTTTTGGTGAGCTGCAGGACCTAGTATGAAATCTGGTTCCCAAAGTTGGCTTTCTTTGCAACTTGTCTTTGTCACATCTTTGTATTTACCAGACAGTATTTTTTTACCATCACGTGTGGAAACTGAGGTACACTTATAAGTAAAATACTCTGCAAAGTGTCATTCTTCTGATCCCAAACACTCTTAGGTTACACCCCCAACCTGCAAAAGACAATAAAAATTCTTCCTGCTTCTGATGCAGATGCGCACAAGACTTATTTATCACATCTGGGCGTGAGGAAGGTTGGCCAAAGATGATCAGAGGACATTTCTCTTAATCCTTTCTCACTTTGTCACATTTTTTGGGTTCCCCACATTTCTCTTGTAGCTACTGAAAAGGGAGCTTTTATACCCTCAAATTAGTGGAAAGCACCAGCCTGATACTGTTTCCTCTAGGAGAGCACAGGCTCACAGGGTTTCACTGAAATGTGCTCAAATGACACTGTTCAGAGGAAGTTCCCTTCACCTGGCTTTCTGTACACAGTCAAGGACCCATAAAAATCATGTTATGAACCCACTGAACTCACCAACCAGGGGGTTGTTATTCTTGTTCCTGTGTCAAAACAAAGGCTGATTACACTGTAAAACAGAGCACTCGAATAAGCCAGACATGGAGGAATTGTTGCTGCTGTCTTTCTTGTTCTGCAGAAAAAAGGTTCACTACCTGTCCATCTTTCAGCTAATATGATGCCATGCTCAGTGGCTACTGGCCAGTGGGCTAAACTTTTCATAGGACAGCTGATCTAAGAAGTTTGTTTCTAGAAAAAAAAAAAAATTACAAGTTAGCAGTCAGGCTACACGGTTCGTAAGGACCAAAATATTCACCCTACAACTGTTGCTACACTAGAAAGACAAAGAACACGAGACAGAGGAATAAAACTTGTGATTCACAACAATACCTGCTGGTGAGAAGGTCTGGCTTCTTCCAAATTCGCTGCTGGTAGGTTGGATCTCTTCAACAAACACCCCATCAGCAGCCAGAGGCCCAGAGTTGGATTTTTTGAGCAACAACGGCTATGATGGAGTTTTCTGGGATTCGTCAGGTTAGGGAAAGGAAAAACTGTGACCTATTGAATTGGTAAAGGTTGTAAGAAGCAAACACTAAGGGAGGGAAAAGGGCAGTTGAAGAAAACTGCCTTTTACTCTGCACCAGAATTGTTGAGGTAAATGAATTGAACACTGGCAACATGGAGGAAAAGGGGGGAAAAGTGAACCCGCAGGGATGCTTGTACTGTAAACCTCGTAAGTCACTCTGCAAGGCACATACCTCAGCAACATATTTTCCACATTTCACCAACTGCTGTTGTCCAGGCACTTTCTATTTTCAAAACCTTCTATGTATATAAAATGTACACAGGCAGGACAATACTTTTTCATCATATCCCTGTGTTCAGTCATGTTTTCTTTTCACAAGGATTCTTGGCTTGGCAGAATGAAAAGTGCCATCTCTTAAGAAAAGCCTTTCCTTTTAAACACTTTCAAATTTGCCCTGTTTTAGCTAAACGTGACGTTCTTTGTGAACGTTAAACAGTGGAGAGAGAGAATGAGAGGGAGAGGGAGAGAGAGGGACACACACACACTCACTCACTCCTGGGGAAGATATTCGTCCATTTAAGGAATGAGAAATCATCACATTCAGCAGCAGGTCTAAATACAGTAATATGAAGGTCCCTTTCGCTCCCCCTGAGCAGGAAAATGTCACTGTGTACCAGACACCCAAATACTCAGGAATCAAGTAAATCCCTCATTTTTAAGGAGGGAGCCAAATACTTCTTTTGAAAAAAGATGGGACTGCAGTAGCTACAAGTTACTTGCTGTATGCCATGGCTTCCCGTGGCTCCTGTACTGGCATGGCAGGGTTAGCCCAGTCATGGGATACACACAGCATTCCCTGCTGGCAGATAAGCCTAAGGGGCCGTGGGGTATCTCACACGCTCCCCTCAGCACCTCCTGCTGCCAGGGCTGGCAAGGAGCGGGATGTTGCATTCTGCACCCTGCAGAGCCTCCTGCTGGGAGCAGAGGAACCAGAATTGCTGCATTTTACTCACCGGGTGATACATCCATCTCCCCTCTGCAACATTGGAGGCAACCCAGCATTGCAGGGTTGTTGGAGCGATTTATATTGTACCTTATATTGCACATACACCATTCTCTACACTGCCTCCTGCTGAGAAAACCTAGGATTGTAGCAGTCAGAAAATCAACCATAAATATCCTTCGGAAAACATTTTATAAAGACTGAATTTCTGTAATAGTCCTTCTTCCCTCCCTTTACCACCCTGCAAGCATAGTTCTCCCCAAAATAAAAGCCAAAGTGATCCAGTAAGAGCCTGGTGTTAAATAGTGGTAACTCATATTTATTACAATTATATACAATCATATTTTATATTTGAAATCTATACATGATCACACAGATGAGCACACTTGCTTGGTGAGGACAGTGAGACTCAGTTGTTACAAGAATTGCTCTGCTAAGAGGCTCTGATGCAGTGACTAATATAATTGGACACCACCATTTACCAGCTGAGAACACAATGCTGCAAATGAGAGGTTTCAAAATTCACTGGTTTAATTTGTGTATAGCCCAAGTGGGGCAAAAAAAAAAAAAAAGAAAAAAAAAAAAGGCTGGACTGGGCAAGAAGGGCCAGTGGTGTACCTCAGAGCTGGAACCGTTCTCCCCTCTGTAAAGATTGCTTTGCTGAAGCCGGTGCCTGTCGCTGGGCAGGTACAGCTCTCAGCTGATCATTTAAGGAGACAAACAGGCTAAGAACCATTGCAAAGATTCAGAATTAAACAACTGTATCAGCATGTGGTATCACCTCATTCATTCGTTCAGGGAAGCTATAAATAAAATGTAAGATGTCAAAAACTGATGTGAGCTGCTTGTCTTTGGAGGAGGAAGGCTAATAACAGGGCTGAGTGAGGTCAGGTTCTTTTAAAGCCTTCTTTTACTGGGGAGCAATCAGTACAAAGCCACCTGTTCTCATGGATTTTACTGTGGCCATGAAACCTAGACTTGGTCCCTAGCAAGAGGCCACTTTGATAAGTGTAAGCATGTGGGGTGGAAATAGTGTTCTTTGGACCCCACAGAAATTTAGTGTTTTTAGATGCTAGGTAGTTTCAGGAATTTGAGGCTTGACATAAGGCTTGGAAGAGCCAAGACTGAGATCTGGTGAGGAGTTCAGGGTCAAAACGTTCTTTGTTTGGCAACAGAATATCAAGTAGTTTGAGAAATAAAACAGAGGGTAATTTGGGGAAACAGAGAACAGGTTTGGGCTGGGGATTAAAGGCTGTGAAATCAAAAAGCTCAGGACAGATTGGTTTTTGAAACTGGACAGAAGGGCTCTAGGATGCAGCAAAGAGGCTGACTGTTTCAGGAAAGATGGTGTTTTCGTAAGAGGACTTATTCTGTAGCTGTGGTGCATGGTAAGGCGATCAGTCTTCCAGCCTAGGCAGTGACCCCAGCTCATGGCTCTGGGAGGGGACAAGAAGCCACTGCAACCCTGCACAGCCCTGTGGTGAAACAGGGCCCACCTTGTTCACTGGGCAATCATCACCCTGCTCAAGGTCAGTCACGGGAGAATCACTGGAGGGGATGGTGGCACTTCTCTCCACAAAATGGGAGAGGCACCGGGGACAGTGCAGGAGGCTAGGGAAGATGTACAGCAGCAGCAGCAGAAGCCCAGGTGTCTTAGTCAATCTCATTCTCGTTGCTGGCCCCCTCCGGTCTTCGTAGTTTCTCCACTTGCTCATTAATCTGACCATCCCCTCCTCGCCGGTCCTCAGTCTGGACACCCAGACATTCCTCCTCATCCACATGGCTAACATCATCATCCTCATCATCCTCTTCCTCCTCTTCATTCCTTTTGGTTTCCCTTTTCTCCTCCTCACCCTGCACCTCCATCCGCACTTGGCTCTTGACGTCAATCACTGCCTTGTTGCCCTCCTCTGTGCTCAGCAGATGGCAGCTGACCTTCGAACCCTCGGGGCTGTGGTTCTCCTTGACCGGCGATGAGGTGGTGGACTCGTTGCTGACAGGTGAGATGTCACTGCTGCTGTTATGGTTGGCAACAACAGGGTTGGAGGGTGAGCTTGGCTTCACTGGGATCTGCCATGACGGGATCTTAGGAGCTGAAGGGGAGGGAGGGAACTGCCTCCTTCGGGGAGGGCAAGAGGGGAAGAAAAGGAGAGAAAGGGGCTTTTATTAAAAAACACTGCGGGGTTATCACTAGAGAGAATGGCATTTGCACTGGAGAAGTCATGTAAAGCAGGACTGAAACTGCAAGTCTCCTTTGTCATAAACGAACAAAAACCAAGTCTCCTTTGTCATAAACGAACAAAAACCAAGGCCACTTCACTTCTTTGGCCAGAATCCCACAGTGCTTTACAAGCACCCAGTAATCCAGCCGGCACACAAGGAAAATACCATGGCTGGGCAATGAGGGACTGAAGTGATCTGGTTTGGCCAATTTCACAGAGTAAGCTAGCACTCAGGAATGCTGCCTGTGGAAAGACATGGGTGTCCCTTTATAAAACAATCACTAATTAATTGGTAAAGAAAATTCCCACTGGAGCAAGAAGTCAGACACACCAGGTCCTCATGCCTGAGCCAAGGAATCTCACCCCCTGGCTCTCGCCTCCACTGCGATACACAGCGATTGCAGTCTGGCTCATTACAATCCAGAGCCTGTCTCCTAGTCCCAGCATGCACTTTACGTGTTTGGGCCAGGTCCTGGCTGCTGCAAACTGGTTCAGCTTCTCTGACTTGAATAGAGTCATACTAGCTTGCACCAGCTGAGAAAGCTGGCTGCTCTGTCCTCCAGTCCTTTCCAGGTGGGCTTTAAGATCTATCTGATAGTGGCAGGCTAATGCCCAGCCCTAATAGGAGAATCCAAGTACCAAACACAACAAATGTAAGTGCAGTGGGGAGCACTGGTGCCCTCAGAAAGTCATCCATCATGAAGGGCAAAGCAAAAAGCATGTCTGATCTAGTACTCCCCGTGCATCCTTGCCTGTGTATGTGAAAAGTGGGAGTACGAAGAGGTATGAGATCAAGCACTGAAAAGGATGCGGTGTGGCAGGGAGTTCTCATGCCCCTCAGGTCATCAGGAGAAACAGGCTCTGCTAAAGTGTGATTCTTTTCATGCTGGTTATGCCCTAACCATGAACAGGTGAACTGAACTGTATCCAGGTGAACTGACTCCCTCTGGAACAGAATGCAGGTGCAGTTAATACCTCAAACTAGGTGAGAGGCACCCTGACCATGGCGAATGGCAGAGAATTCCTCTATCATGAACAAAAAGGAAAAAATCTTATTAATTACCCAAAGCATTCTCTGATTTAAGGCAAGTTTGAAAAGCATTTTGAGACCTGCAAATAGAAAGTGATAGTGGAGTGCAAAGTGGTATTATTCAAATAGCAATAACAGGATATAGAGCTAGTTCCTGCTGGAAATGCCTTTCCTCTCCACAATTGAGAGAATCCCACAAAGCAACCCTTTCCCCACACAATAATCTGCTCGCATATTCCATCCATACCTGTTCAGGAGAAGTCCTTTTAACGAGTAGATCTCAGATTTCAATTCATTAATATTCTGTGACTCCAGAATCCAGTTGGTGGAAGTTGTGGCCTAGAACATGAAAAAGAAGACATAAAGATCAAAGTATGAACTGGGAGATAGTTCACAAATGTCACCTTTTCCTATGGTATCCACTCTCTCTCCCATCCGGGAATCTCGAGCCTGGGGATAACATACATAAACTCTATCATTTAAAATCTCTCAGATCTGAGCAAAACAACTTCCACAATAAAGAAGGACCTGAATGGGTGCCCACGATGATCAGAAATAATAATTGTCTCAAGATGCTATGACTATTCAAATATTTGCTTCCTATTTGGGGGACTAATTAATCTTGTCTCCACCAACCATGCACAACCATTGCTGACGCATCTCAAGGAGACCTTTCTTTTTCAGTCAGAAGGAGGCCAGCACTCGTGAGAGTTTAGACCAAGCTAGGTCTGCATAGGATGTTTTCCATCAACATATCAGACAGAGAATAATACCCAGAGGTAAACTAAATCATTTGACACTGACCTAATAAATGATTTCTAGAGAAGATGAACTAGAACCAGGATCCTGAAAGCCAGTGGGAGTTGTACTGAATCAGGTCCTTTATTCTTCCCTGTGACTGCAGTTAGCTAAGTCAACAGATCCAAATATTATATATTAACAACTATTTTAAACCCATTTGTTCATTCCTCCTAAATCATGAAATAAAGAATCGATTATCTGCACTCTGTGGTGTTTAGAGGTGGGCTGATAAATCAATGCTTGAAAGTTGAAAAATTTTCTCTATAGATCTGAAGAATTAGAGCTATGCTTGAGTTACCAGATTGTATCTCCAGGAAGCAGCTGGACTAGGCACTGCTTCTTGGATCCGCCAAGGCAATGAATGCAATTTGGTGGGAAAGATGATAAGTAACTCATTGCAGCCTGGTCCAGCTGCTGTCAGCGCTGCATCAGAATTGCTACGGGATATCAGTCAGAAATTAGAGTAAGGTGACAACTGAGGAGAACATGCTGCAGACAATACTTTTGGCAATCTTTCTTTCAACTCTTTTGGGAACTTGAGAAATGGGAGGAACATTCTGAAAGACAGATCATGGCCTGTGGGTACCCCATCCTATCACTCTCGCAGCTCCTGGAGTGATGGGCTGACTATGGGACCAAAGAACACTTATGTCTAGCACTTCCCATAGTAATGTCTGCTCAAAGCCATTTGTGAGCATCACTCCAGAGACACTCCTAATAAATCCCCTGACAAAGGAAGCTGGGACTGGAATAACACAAAACTCCTCCTCAGCAGTTCCTGCAAGATGTAGCCAGAACTGGTTGTTCCTACTTAATTCTTTAAACAGACTTTGGCTAGTGCTGAGTAACTCTGAACACCTTCACAGCCAGCACTCCTCACAGTGACTTCTGGGCTGTGAACCCAGTGAGCTGGGAGAGGCTCAGCCTGGAGTAGCTGTGATATACACAGATGCGTTCCCTTGGGATTCACACTCCCAGCCCTCAGACAGCAAGAATCCAGGAGCCACTGTTCTGGCTTTTCCAAGACCTTGAAAGCTACAGCAGCACATTAACAAGGGAGTGATTTCCACTCACTGGCCTGCAAAGGACTCAAATTTCCAAAACACATATGGTGCCAGATGCTTAGGATTTAGAAATAAAATCTGACATCTGGGGCTTTTTAGCCAGTCTCTTTAAAAAACAGTTGTAGAAAATTCAAGCCTTGAATTTTTATGTACGTTTTTTAATTACTTAAAGTCCCTCTTTTTAATTTTTTACAGCATGCCAGTAGGAGTTTGAAAAGCAGATATAAAAACTTACATTACAGCTGAGAAAACACAGCTTTTATTCTTTGGTTTGCGGGGTTGCCCAAGTTTTTCTTTGTACACATGAGGTTTAGATATCATAACAATGTGTGCTACCATTTCAGTGCAGGGGGTAGAGAGGGGGGAGGAAAAACTTCTTCAAGACTCTCTAAACCACCAAGACGCTTATGCCCTTTTTCCTTCTTAAAGCTCAACATGTGGTCTTAATCTTAACACTTAAGACCTGAAAACAGTTTTCCAATTTCCGGACTGGCTCCAGGCCACTGCCAGGCCACAGTTCCCAAGGAAAATTGAAGTAGAGTGTTGTGACCATAAACTGGCTTTCATGGTTGGGTTTACAGCTGTGCCACTGAGGGATTCCTACTGTACAGTGTGCGCACCACAGTCAGCTGTGGCCCACCAGTTACACATCATCAAAGGTTTTGTATGCGATTAAAGGCTAGGCAAGGGGAGAAGACAACTGCTCATGCTATAGGTAAGAGACTGTAAGCATTGTCTAAGGGATTTCACAGTAAAAAAGAAAAATCTCTCCCTGTACAGAGAATACTGCAAGATGACTGAGCCCTGAGTAAGTCTGTGAGCGAAAGGAAGACTTCATCTCTGTGTGACTGGTTCAAATCCATCCCATCTCACATGTAACCAACACTTACTGCCTGACAGAATGCTGAGGCTGATTGTTGCAAACTACTTTGGAGATGAAAAGAATAATTCTCATTACCAGAAAGAAAATCAATTTTGGTTAAAAGTGGCTACTTGTAGTTACACATGTAACAACACAAACTAGTCAGAACTGATGGCTTTATTGCCAAGGTCGAGTCAGGAGTCAAGGGGAATTGGCCACTGTGTGTGACCGATGTGGCTGTGATGGGGCCACCTGTTACACTGAGATGCCCAAAATCACTGAAACAAGAAACCAAACAGTAAGAATGTTTGGCCAGTACCTGACCTGAAGCTGAACAAGTGATTTACATACAGTGCTTCAAATGTGTGCCTGGCTGAACCAGATTAAGTCATTGGTTTGACAATGTATAAGGGTACAGGAGAAATACAAACATGTAAAATTACACAGTACACACAAACAAAACCTCTGCACAACTGGCCTTTACCTCTTTTGGTCAGTGGACTAACAGCACAATTATTTCATCTCAAATGCAATGCAGAAGATATAATCTGAGCACAGGTCTGAGGCCTCAGAAACACAGCCTGTATGCAAAGCTCTATAGCAAAGCCCTCTCAGAAGTTAGATATATTTTACTGAGCACTCAGTTAATATCCAGTGCTTTAAACAGACTGCCTATGGAGAAGTCAGATGCAGAGAAACTGGCTGGGGATATGACAGAGGCTGGATTGTGAACCTAATAAGGTGCTTTCCATGTGCCCACAAAAGCAGCTGTGCATATTCCAAAGAAGATGGTAATCTAAAGGTGAAGAGTTGGAAGTGGATACCTTAGAAGCAGCCAGTTCTTGGGTGAGCTCCTGGATTTTCTGTTGTTGCTGGACTAGCAGTTCCTGGATGGCTGCTAAAGTTGTCTGTAACTGAGTCACTGTGAGGGAAAAAGCAGGAGAGTGTTAAACTGAGATACACGCACATATACACACTCACACACTCGTCCCTCCTGCTGTCTAGCTACAAAGATGCCTCTATTCCTACTATATTTAATTTATCTACACCCGCCTGCTCACTTTAATCCATATGATTTATCTGCACTACGGGTAATCTACCTGCACCGCATCTAACCTCCAGTATTTCTACTTTATCTTTCCATTGTATAGATGTCTATACCCCACAGTATATCCGTCCAAAACCTCTCCCTTCTAATTATATTGGTTTATGATTTGTACATCTCCCTGAACTTATACAATGTTTGTATCATTTATCTACCCTGGGCCTCATGCAGGCAAACACGGGGGCTAGCTCCAACCCGGGAGGAGGCTGGTCTCAGGATTGACCTTAGGGTATCAGGAGAAATGAAAGCCGCTTTTCTTTTCACCCTCCACTAAAAAAGTGTAATTAGCATCCTCCCACTCTCAACCCACCAGCTCCTTCAACCCCAACATCTTTAACAAACTTACTGCTGAAAATCATACTTTTTTCCATCCCACCAGCTGAATATACTTCACACTTTTCCCCTTTTATTTCAAGAGAACACCCTGTATTCCCCTCCTACACCCCACCAAACACCAAAGAACTTCTGCTGGACTCCATCTCCAGCTGTAGGAGAACTTTTTCTACTTTGGTACTTTATCCAAAGCTTCCAGGCAGTAAACAAGCTGATAAAATAAAATAAAATTTAAAACTCTATTGGTGTGACAGGTAACAGCTAATCCAGACCATCATTAGGGCATTGGGTAATGAACAGACACCCTATAGAGTCAATAACAGAGAAGGTGGCTAAGGTCAGGGAGGCACAGTAATTACAGACTCTCCTGACCCTTCCTCGGATTTTCAGATGGAAGGTAGGGGGAAAACACCAAAAAAAAGCCCCTGAAAACATGAGAGAAGCAGAAATTAAAAATGAACTTTACAGCCCTCCGAAAGGCTGTCATTTTATTCCCCTTATTAATATTCTGAGGTTGGGAGCCTTTCCGTAAAAACATAATTAATTGAGGCCGCGCCGACAGTAAACAAGCAATTTCAAATTAAACCGAAATGACGGCGGCTTCATTTGCAAATGTGAACAGATTCTCAGAGCAGATAAATGAAGTCACCACATAAAGTGGAGATGGAGGGAAAGAAAAGGGTGGGGGTCTTGGCAGAACGGAGGATACAGGGAGAAAGGCTTTGAGGGGTGAATTGATGGAGTCATTAATCTTTACCTGTCTGTGTCACACTGCCACTCATCTCAGAAATGTTTGACTCAATCCTCTGAAGTTGTTTCCTGTCTTCTTTGCCTCCCATGATGAGAGGAAGCAGGTATTTCTGCATGGAGTACAGAAACTTTTTTTTAGGAAATAGGGATATGCAAAGCGGTCTTTCTAATCTGCCTGAAACATCCTCAAAGCCCGTGACCCAAACCTCAGCCTTTATCACAAAGCCAGTGATCATTTATCCACACACCTGGCTGAGAAAAGAAATTCCTTCAACAGTAGGTGTTAAAAGAAATTGCAGAAGAGAAGGTATGATTTCTGTGCTTACATTTTGGAGGGTGCTAAAACCAGTTCCTAACTCCACTGAAGGTTTCCTGGGACAGCACTCAGTCCAGAGAAACATCCATCACATATAGAGCACAGTTTCAGATCTTACGCTCCCAAATGGGAACACGCTGATGTGTGCCAGGATCTGAGCTACATCCACAAGGCAGGACATGCAGAGTGGGGAGAGGAGGGGAAAGGCCCAGGAAAGGCCAGAGGAAGCACAAGCTAGCGAATGAGAGGTATCATCAAATCTTTTCAACCTTGGCAGGGGAAGGTTTACGAGTCATGGAGGGAAAAGCAGAGATGTGGAGCACAGAGAAGAGAACGAAGGAACCATGGCTAAAGGCAGCAAGAACCAAGCCAGTACAGGATGGGAGGCAGTTCAGTGACACTGCACATAGCCATGAAATCTACCTCATTCTGCCTTTTTTTATCCTGGCTTTTTTTAATTTTCACACAGTGAAAATGACCTTGCTTCTAGTAGTTTGGGATCCACTGCTAAAAACTAGTTTTGTTTGTTTGCCACTTTTTGACTCGGCATTTTCCTGTTAAGTGTCTCCATTGCTCAAATATACCAATAGCAGTGCCAGTAGGAAGAGATGCTTCACCAGCTTGGAACCAACATGATCATTTGGACACAGGCAGCATAACAGAGTGTAAGAGTAGTGAGGGAGACAGTACCTTGTAGAGCTGGTGGAATCCAAAGGCAATTCCTGCCATTATGATAGCCAAAGCCCCATAATCTCGCCATCTGGAGCCAGGTGGACCTAAAGGCCAAAATCAAGAAATAATCAGAGTCAGAACTACAGGTGACAACATTTTCACACACCTATTTTACCAGAGAAAAGAGCAATGAATAATGCCAGTTCCGCTGTTTCTTAGCAGGTATAGATGTACCGAGCAGGGGCACTAAGATGCTGGCAGTCCCTCAGGTGCAGTGTGCAGGCTTCTGGCCCTAGGACATTGAAACATCTCTCCAGACCTCTCGCATTGACACTGGCCTTGCACAAGGTGTCACAGGGAGACAAATCACAGCAGCAATTTAAAAAGTTCCATCAAGCTGGTTTGCCCTATTCTTTTCTTGGAGAAGCCACTCTGAACCCTACTGCTCTTTCCCCAGCTAACTGCCTGTGGTGTTAGCACTAGCTAAGGTTAACTCATTACTTGAATACCAATCGGTCTTCACTACCATAATTTTTGAAAACGGGGACAGAGCGAGAGATCCAGAAGAGTGCAGGAAAAAAGGAAGTGTTTTGAGAAAGAAGAGCAATCAGGGCGATAAATGGGTTTGTGAACACTGTGTCAGCAATTATGGACCGGTTCAATACGGGAGAATCCAGCGTCTTTCAAGCCTGAATTACAAATAGGGGCCAAAGCACACATAAACAGCAGAAAGAAAATATGCAATTAAATACCTACAGAGAGGGGTAAAGAAGTAGATAAAAGCTTGAGGTATTTAACACACAATTCTGCACAGAAGCGTAGAGACTCCACAGGGCAAAGCAAAGATCTGGTACGCTCTGCTCCTTCAAGCAGAATAGGAAGACACCTGTAGTTTTCCACCAGCTTTATCCTTTCACCTCCCTCGCAGTTCCCTTAACCAATCTTGTACTGCCCCCGGTTTTCTTTAATAATAAAGAGGATGCAGAGTGATCTTTCCTAAAGTTCAGTGGCAGGATGTGGGCAGAATCGATGAGGTGGAGGCCGGTGTAGTCTCCAAACAGACAGATCTAAATCTACATGTGAGCAACAATGTCTCGGAAATGCATTCTGTTCTCCAAAGTTTCAAATTAGGCTTTCAAAGGGAGGCTTAGCTGTCTGAAATGGCTGGAAGCTTGTCTCCTTTCTGCTTTGCTCACCTATTGCTGTTTTTCCTGTTGCCTAAATCTTGTACAAGCATTTCACTGCAAGAGCTACTCCTAATCCCAGCCCTCGGGCTCTGCAGACAGGCACTGACTCTCAAATACTGGCACTCAGGAGCTTCTTGCTACATTTTAGGACACAGCTCCTCAAATTATACACTGGCTAGAAATCTGAACAAATTAAAGCAGCTCTGTCAGAACTGGTGAATATAGTGTCACCAGCAGTACTCTGGGTTGCTGCAGTTCCAGTTTTGGAGCCTAGGCACATGATCAAATTATCATAACTTTTTAACTTAATGAGTTAACACACATCAGCTAAGCTGCAGTAGCTGGCTGTGTACATGTCAGGATTTAAAATGATCTCTGGCTAATGCTGCTGCAAACCCCCGTCCCCCAGCCCACTTTCCCCTCCTTACCCGGCTCCCACCATCCTTCCTTGTACCTGAAGTCTCTTGGTTATCCAGTCCTCTGCCCTGAACTTCTGAGTACAAATATCCTTCTATGGCAACGCAACTCGTTCCAAGATGGACTGCCTGCTGTAAAGGGTTAATTAATCTCGGAGGCTCTGTGGGTCCCACTGTGCCCTGTCCAGGCCGTCCTTGGCTGGTGGTCCCTAACTACGTCCCAGCTCCAGTGACCTCTGAGCAGAGGAGCAGCACCCGTAGGACCCTGTCCGCTTTGCCCTCTCACCTCGCTCATCTCTCTCTCCACTCCTCTAATGCCTGAGCTAAGAACATTTTATTGCCCTCTGGTTTTCATTATTAATGAAAAGGGACCAGAATGATCTTTCCTAAAGTTCAGAGAGTCTATAAAGACAAGAAGCTGAAATGCCATTTTACTCGTTTTAGAGATGTGTGAAATAATTCTGTCTTGTGGCAAAAATAAGTGAGGGGGGTGGAGAGGAAAAGTGAGTGAGGGACGCAGTAAAGGCATTGACCACATCAACTTTACAATGTTATGAAGAATGTCACAGCTCTGCCTAAAATCCATGTTCAATCTTCCTTTTTCTCTGCAATACTCTAATTTAAAATGGGGAGAAGAGAGAGGGTTAGAAGTTTGTAACCTCAGTGCTCCCACTGACTTCTTTGCATATCCTCAAATTCCCCACTTTTAGAACTGGAATAAAATTCAGAGAAAGTGAAAAAGCACTTAATAGCCCAGTTATTCTTCAGTTTAGGCACTGAAACCCTCCTTAAAGAGACAGGCCAGGTACATTACGAATGGTAACAAACCGTTCTACATCAGAGACCCTCAAAAGGCAAATTGAAGGGACACAGACATTTTCTCCAGCTGTAAGTCTGTGTTTTCTGTACGTATATTTAATTTTCACAGCAGCAATGGTAAATTTCAATTCCCGAGTAAACACTACTATTTTTAAGATCCCCGTTCATCTCAGAATTAACCTTCCTGACACCAGTTAATTAGGTCTTGTGCATCCAAGTAAGGTCAGCCTCTCTAGTATCCACATCTCAAACTGTGGAAACTGAGGCTGGAAGAGGTGATTTTCCAAGAGCAACCAATGAACCCATGGAAAGGAGCTGGGGGAAAAAAAGTTTGGATTCTAGTTACCATTTTTAAGAGAACCAGTCTGTATTCTACAGCCTCCCACATAGTGAAGACACAGGGGTGGGAGAAGAAGATCCAAATGGCAAGAAAAACAGCCACGACAGCTGATTTTTAAGCAGGTGTAAAATCTGCACAAAACCCCATAAATGGAGACCATAAATACCATGGGGCAGAACACAGACAATACCCGGGTGAGAAGCAGGCAGCTTTGCACACCTTGCTCAGAAACTCCCCTGCGTTTGCTTGTAATTATAGGGGTTAGAAAGGTAAAAAAACTATAAACCCAATTAATCATTTAAATATTTAAAGTCAGATTTTTGTCCTCACCGCTGGATTAGTATATTTCATAACGCCACCAGCAGACAGCCCTGGTTTTTTACTGGGGGTTCATTTTAGAGCATGTTTAAACTAGTCAGATTGAGTGATGCTTCCAGCAACTAATCGCATGTCAAATAAAAGATATTTTATGTAATAAATTACTGCTACAAGTAATTCAAATGTCATTTATCAGTTTTATTATCAGTCAGGCAAAGTCTTGTTTCTCTATATTAATCAAATTCAAGCTTTTTTTAAGCTTTTTTTTTTTTTTAAGCAGTTTTGACACCTCTTGGCAAAAGTACAAACAGGAGGGAAAGAATTACTCCTCCAGAACAGGAGAAGAAATATAGAGATGGTATTGAGCTAAAATACGGTGTCTAGAAACTTCACTTAATTCTTGTATCTTCCTCCCAAAAGTTATTATGGTTTCTCTTAAACCAAACCCAGGAGGAGTTCGGCATACAAGAAGGCTACTCTGAAGGCTTACAAATACGCTTCTTTCTCATTAACTCTTCAAGAATAAGAAAGCACTTACCTAGGTAACAGCAAGTTCCAACAAAACGTTACAACATTAAGTAATACCTACACTAGCAGTTCAATTTGTACAAAAGGAAGTATTTCAGCAGTATGAATTATTTCCTGCAACTTTAAAAAATAGAGCAGACTGAGTTGACAACAGCAGGAAATCAAGCAAGTAAAATCCAGAGGTGCTCATAGGATTTATTGCTCTGACTCACAGGAGTGGACACCTTACCCTGGAGTTGCTGGCAAGATCACCAACTTGGCTGTTTGGTCCACTGAATAAACTCTTGAGATGGTTCTGAAGCCATCCTGAACTTCTGTACTTGTAACCCACAGATAATGTAATTTTTAAACATGAAGCAGTAACACCAGGTGGGGAGGGGGAACTGAGAGAAATTAGGGTTTTTAAGACACTAGCCACTGCTTTTCAGCACAGTATCCCCTTCAACTGTTTCTCCTTTTGGTTTATGGAGGGTAATTCTTTCTCAGTGTACAGCGTCAAAACTACTCAAAAAAACCTTAGAAAGAACCAAAAATATCAGACACAAAGTGGTTCAAAATCTTCAAGACGTAAACTCCAGCAGATCAGATACTGCTTCACAAGAAACTCAGATGTCTTCTTTGGGGAAGGCAAATATAGCTCATAATCTTTTCCAGTGTAAACTCTTCCAATATGAGTTGTTCCCATCAACAAGTCAACTTATAGATTAAGCAGTTTACCTATCTCATTAGTCCTTTAGATATACTTTTGAGCTTCAAACCTTGAAGCATGAATACTCTGTAAGAAGACAAGCAGAACAGACAGACAGAAAAAGTAGTATCTCTCCTTCTCTGTACATGACAATCCCTGACAAATCTATGAAAGACAAATTGACTTAGTAAACTAGCACAGAAACAACTGTCCTGGAGCAGAGTTGGACCAATTCAGAACTATTCATTACCCGATTAGCATCCACCTGACGAAATAACCTACACCACAGCAAACAAGGCACCTTTTTGGTCACATGAATAGAATGTATATTTAGCTATTTATTATTTTTATACATGCATTTAGAGGTTAAGCTTAAATAGAAGGTCTACAAAGAATGGCTAAAGAGGGGAGAAACAATACCTATGTGAACCTGATGTCACCATTTCCCCGATTTTGGGGGGTGCTAAAAAGGACTGGCTCACAGGCAAAAGCTTTTGGCTGAAATGATGAAAACAGCAGCAATCAGATCACAAGGCTAGAGCACCAGTTTACAATTACAACCCCTACAAAAGCTTTACTTTGGTATTTTTACTCACCGTTGGTTTCTGAGCATTACAGAATGATACTTTCAGACTTCTCTTTGGAGCTGTTACTGAGAACATTTTGATGTTTAAATATTAGTTAAGATTCTTACCTAGTAAGAAGAGATTGGGAGGTGGTGCTTTGAGGAAAGCCAAAATAGTAAAACGAAAAAAACCAAACAGTGATAAAGCTGCAAGAGTTAACAATGATTGTAATGTTTTCCAGTTTGAATTGCATACTTTTTTTCTGCCCTACTCATATCGGTGGAACGCTATAAAATAAGCAAAGATTAACTCTTCCAATTTTGGGTTGTGATAAGAGTTAGCTGAATTAGCAACAGACAGCACTAAGAGGGATCTGGCACTGTTTCTGCGACAAGAGAGCAGATTTTGCTTTTCTGGCATTTTCTGTGAACTACAGCAGACGGGTATTAGCCCAGGAGGAAGAATTCAGACTGGAGTTCACCAGCACATCCAGTAAACAGTCAGAAATATTCCAGTTCTGAGCCCAATTCCATCACAAAGGTTTTTCTTCCCAAACTGTGTGAAACCAGAGCATTTAAAAACTCAGAAAGCATGTCTACTATTGTCTCTAGCAATAGCAAAACTATGCCATAAACTAATAAAGTGGACCGTGACATCAGTCAATACCTGACCTAGAGCTGTTTAGGAGCAGTATCAAAATCCTTTTCTTAATACTTGGCAGGTAAGTGAAGTGATTTTCCAACTGCCAGACACACATGGGAGCTGAACAGCTTCTTTTGATGGATTTTTAATGGTGTGTACTTTGGGTTTTATTGTTTGGAGCTTAGATACTTTTTTGCGAGGTTTGTTTTAAAATGCAAATATATATGTAAATTTTGAGTCTACGCAGATTATGTTGGGACTTTAAAAATTCTTTGAGAGTGTATTTTGTACACAAAATCACACAAACACATCCACACAGTCTACACAGAATTTCTGCTGTCACCCCTCCGATTATTTAAGATTCAAGATAGAAAGCTTGTTAAAATTAAGGATCCATATTAACTGTTTATTATTTTTTGTAACCTGACAGTACTCTTAGAATTCATTCATACTGGGGGTCCATTGTGTCAGACCTTAAACTCACACACAGAAAGTCACAGACTATGTCGTGAAGACCTTATATTCTAGCTGGCCGTTCATGCTGAAAATACACCTCTTTCAAGTAACTGTTCAAGGCATTAACTCTCATTGTTCAAGGAGCATCTGGATGATGCTCTTAGTCATATGTTTTAGTTTTAGGTAGTCCTGTGAAGAGCAGGGAGTTGGACTCCATGATCCTTTCGGGTCCCTTCCAACTTGAGATATTCTGTGATTCTGTGAGCTGATCAGTTGCCTGACCAGTTAAGAAAATAAGTCCTCTAACTAAAATACAAAACTTTGTGATAATGTCCATCAGTTTTTTAAACAGAGTCCACTGTTGCAATAACTAAAGATGTAATAGTGTTGCACTTTCACAGCACCTTCTACCCAAGAATCCTTCAGCCCTATCATATATTAATGATCTAAATATTAGAAAACCTTACTGATGAAGGGAAGCATGACCTTATGGTTTAGATGGGAAGACTGAGTCCTATGCTGACTAAATGCTTTTTTCAAGTCCTTATAGTGGGTCAGAATCTAATTTATATTGACTAAACACCTTCAGGTCAAGAGATGCCATAGGCTAGTACAGGTTTGTTTGCAGACAAGGATCATTTGTATCTCATTTTCCTTGTGTAATATCATCTGGTCACAGGCATCAACAACTATGAAGTGCATTTAACATAACATTTGGTGTCCGATTCTGACAAAAAGTATGGCACTAGTTGAATTGAAATCTGGGATCTGGCACAGAAATCTGTGAAATTGCTGCAGAAATCACTACAGAAAGCCACAGGACCAGATGTTTTTCAAAGTGTTACTTACTATACACCACAGGGTGAGAGGGCTGAGTTGGCACCAGCTGTGTCGAAGGTCCTGGGGACTGTGGCTCATCCGTGCTTGTGCCGGACTGCTGGAAAGCCAGGTCAATTTCTTCATCTGTCAGGCCTGGGGGAGCAGAGGAAATGAAATCAGTTTAGCACCTTTACCCACTTGATGCACGCATAATTAAATTCTCAAGCCAGGCAGAACCCTTTCAAGCTGCAAAGAATTTTGGCACTGACTTGAGCAGTAATGCCTCCCCAATTTTGGATTCGCTGGAATGTCTCCCTCTCTCTTTCTCTGTTGCAATTTAACCTTAAGCGACAGAATATTAGCCTCAACGCTGCTTCCAAATGTGGCTCATTCAATTTCCTTAATTTATCCTTGAGTTTATTGCTGCTTTTGAAGTAGCTTTCTATTGCAATTCTCCATTCTTCCCCCGAAAAAAAGATACCATCAACTGCAAATGTGGCTCATTTTAATCTGTAATGGTGTAAAAAAAAAAAAGAGGGGAAAAAACTAACAATAATGCATGAAAACAGACAGGGAAACAAAAAACTAATTATTGGGTTAGACGACTAATTAGTCTAGATCGTTTCCGAAGACGGGAATAATTTGCTTTATTTTATGACAAATGCAGAAATAAAAAGAAAAAATCAGGACTGACTGTGATTAGTATGAATGGGACACAGAATGTAAGGAGGAAATAAAACTAACAAAACAGATCAAAACAAGGCTAAGCCCAAACTTTCAGCTTAGCGTTGGCCTAGCCTATTGCTGCACGATTCGATTGCCCTAGGGCAGCCTGGTTTTTATTTCACGCAGAGCTGTAGTAACACTGCACACATGGTACACGTTGGTGCAGTCACTCCTGCCATCAGGAAATGCCAGGATGACCATCTGTAATTGGCCACAACATATGGAAAGGATTTGGCCAACAAGGGGGAAAAGCAAAGCAGCTAAAGGATTCACGACGACCAGCATCTGTGAAGAACGAAGCAAAGTAGGATTATTTTTTCCAACAGGAGAAAACATCCTCTAGAAAAAGAACTTAGTATTCAGATGGCAACCACGACGTGGGGCCCGGCCAGCTGTGTATTACCTGTTATGTTATTGATAGAAAGCCAGCGCCCCTGCTACAAGGAACATGTGTTCAGGACCTTTTACTATACATGCAGCGCGTATGCAAAAACATTCAGAAAGGCTGGAAGTGAGAATATAGATTTAAGAAAAGAGATAGAAAAGACAGACCATTCTCACACAGTTGTTCCAGGGACTGAGCGCAGTGAGGAAAATGGTGTGAATATGGCAGCAGTGGGAGAAAAAGGGGGGAATACTTTCTCTCCATCACCTCCACTCGAGATCCATGAAGTATTGCTGCTATCCTTTAAAACCCTTCTCTCTTTAACATCACAGGGAGATACAATACAGAAAATGGCCAGGCTTCTAAGCATATTACCCAAGTTTTGAAAAATTTTTTTAGGATCTTAAACTTCACTGCATATTGGGGGTCTAGACAGAATAATCTACAGATTACAGAAACAATATTGCCAGAAATAAATACACAAGTCTGTCTCAAGACTGTTATTTGATATTATGAAGCACTAACACAGTGCTTCTGGTATTCAGAAGGCTTTGTAACTATTAACAGATCTTTTCCTTGTTCCTGTGGGTACACAAGAGGATGTGAGTTCCTGTGAGATACTGTTTATCTGCTGTACAGTGCAGATACTGATGCACAGAGAAGCTAGGTGATCTCTCTAACGTAACAGAATGTTGTCAGTGTCAGAAACAGTACCAGAAATCCGAAGAATCCTGCAATCTGACAGAATCACCCCTCTGCTTGTATTTGATGTACGCCTCAAACAGTAAGGGACCAAAACCCCACGTAACAGTATGGAACAAGACTCGCAGTGAGAGCAATAAAAGGCACACCAGCACACCTCAGCCTACTGTTCTAGTCACAAAAGCAATATTTATGGTGTCAAATCCACATTAAAAAGCAAAGTCCTCATCAGAAAGAAACACTTTTAACCAGCTCCTAATTATCCAATGGAGGAGAAAGCATAAACAGATGCCAACACTGTGGATCACTAGCAACTGAGGAATTTCATAAAGATGGAGACAACGTTAGCTGCTGGCTGCAAATGTGGCTCCCACCAAAATAGGGCACTTTCTTCTATTTCTATGCAAAGATAGCAAATCTGATAGTATTTAACACTTAGAAACAGACAGAGGTTATGGAGGATCCTTACTTCATTCTACAAAAAGAGCAGAAACAATGTTTATTATTTCCTAACCATACTGCCCCTTCTATTCTCATTCTGTTTGAGAAAAACCCTAAAATCTTTTGCAGATAAAACGCACTTCTAGGATTATTCTGGTCTTGACAGCCAGAGAGCTCAAGTATCACTGTTTCCATTAAAACCCTGCTGTACTGTGAAGAAAAAGCTGATGTGAATGATAGAATGACGGGAAACCTTTCACATCTGAGTTCCTGGTTTCAATCCTGTGCAAAGTAGTGTGAATTAAAATTGTTATTACTTCCCTGGACTATTCTGCTGCCTTGTGAAGTCGTCTTGTCCATGGTACTAGTGGCATGATACAAAAGAACTTCACAACTCCAGCCCTTCTCAATTATCAGGGGAGAGACTGGGAGTGTCATCACCTTGGAACACCTCCTTTCTATTCATCTGCCCAAGATGTTTTTAAGGCCCTGTCTTAATCTCCCAGAGCTGATTCCTTAAGCGTATATACGGAGAAGCTCTGTGCTGCAACTAGTCATCTGCGGATTCAGAAATATACCTGTGTTCATGGTTGTCATTTCTCACGCGCACTAACAAAAATGTACAAGATATTCTAAGACTGTCCTCAGGCGATTGTAACTAATGCATGAAAATTCCCTTTGGACTGAATTTTTTTCAGATCCACCACCTCCATGCTTGTATGCATACAGTATGAGTTTTCCATGCCCCAAATTATTCAATCTCAATATATTAATTACATAGAAAAGTGGGAATTTCTAAACCGAAGTGTCATCTGTTCCAATATCTCACCTTGTTTTATCACAGTCCTTCTAACACTGCACTATACAAAAAAGTATCCATGGTCCATTCATTGTTCTAACCTTGCGGGTAACCCAAAAATAACAGCACTTCCCTTGGATGCAAAAGCAGTGCCATGAAAACTGGAGCTTTGTGTCTAATATACCTCTCAAATAGGTATGTCAAGAAAATCACCGCAGTTTAACAGAAGAATTGCTCTAAATCCACCTGCTCAACATCTTGGGAAACAAATATTTCAGTTCTTCTGGAGTTGCAGCAAGATCAAGACCCTGCAGAACGCAAAAGGTTAAAAGGAACAATAAAGGAAACTGCCAATTGTAAGTGAATTATATTTGGCTTTGAAAGCTGAGCCACGGCTATATTATAAAAGGCATCTCTTTGCGTTGTTTACCATCACCCTGACTAATGCAGACCTTTTTTTTTTTGTTTTAAATAATCTCATGCAAATTAGACACACACTTCCTTCCAGTTGATTGCTATCTGCAAGGAATAATCTAACCGCAGAGGGTACTGAGCAAGGACTGAGCTGAGGAGAAGGATGCAAGGAAACTGTCTTCACAGCCCTACAGAATGCAAACCTGTTCCCTTCCCCCAACCATCCATTTCATTCCAACACAGCCATTGCAAAGAATTAGTAATAATTTTCACAAAGCCTTAAAATTTCCTTTTCAGGGTGTTGATTTGAATAATCCAGCGCCCGTGATCGTTTTGCACTCCAAGGTTCTCGCTGACCCTCTTTTGTGATTGTCACTGCTGCCACTCAGTTTTCAGGGGTCACTCAGCCTCTGTAAGCTGTAGTCAAACATGGAATCGGAGCAAGTCAGTGAATAAAATGGGTTGTCACAAACATCTTTTGGTGCCTGCACCTCAGTTATTGCATGAAAAGCTCCCTTGCCCAATAACTTGTAAGACCTGACTGTCTGTTTAGACCCTTTTTCAATATCTACTACTATTTCACAGAAGGACTTAATGTACACCAAAACACTGTTGCTCTTATGACCACTCTGAAGTAGAGGAGCACTTAGAGGAGTACTGTCATCCATATTTTACAAATGAGGAAGAATTGAGACACACTGATATGAGAAGTGTTCCCAGGTCAAAACTAAACCTCTGACAGTCAGAAAACAAAACTCAGGAAATGCGAGTCCCAATCCATTGTTTTACTGTAAATACATTCTTCTCTATTTTCTGGATGAAACACAGTAGCAATAATTACAATGCAAAACCCTTGCATGACCTTAAGTAGATGAGCCACTAAGTTTTTTCTTCTCCTTCTCTGACACAGGCTCTGACATTTCAGTGACAACCTTTTTTCCCACCCCATCCACTGAGCATATCTTCTTCTTCACTATATTCCTCCTTGCATTGTTCAATCCAGTAATCCATGCAAGACTTTCACAACCTGAAGGCAACACTAGTTTTAGGTAGAAAAATTCTGCTTAGGAAGAAATTTAAAATTCTGCCATAATAGGGAAAGGTGGTAGAAAGAATTAAGTTCCTTTGGTGGCAGCTTAATTACAGTCTGACAGACCACCCTGGAGCCACCATCACAGCCACCCTTTGCAGGGACAGAAGGCAGGGGAGGGGTGCGGGGTAGGGGGTGGGATCTGTTGTCGTTTTCCTCACACACACTTTTGATCAAGAAGAAAACAAAATAGAACTGGGTAACTTGTTTAGCTGCAACAAACTACGTGACTACCTGGAGTTGGCGCATGGTACGATGTGACTAAAAGAAGACCTCCTGGTAGACGTCCTGAAACGACATTACACTGCTGTTCCTGGAAGCCACTGAGTCAACTCTGCTCAGAAAGAACATGGCCACGGTTTGAAAGAATCATCATAAAAACCTTCTGGGATCTGATCCAGACTAATGATTCCACCTGTTCAGTCAGTTACATGCAGTGCTGGGCAATTCTTTATCAAATGTTTGTCCTGTACCCTACTCTGTGCTTATTTGAACACATTTCAGAAAGGTCAAAAAGGCACAGTGTCCGGATCAATTTTATTTCACTTGGTTCATGGGTCATTCATGAGGCCGAGCCCAACCGAACATTTTAACAA